ATCAGGAGAACATGATCGGCAAAGAGGTGGCACTATTTGAAATTCCAAGAATTGGAGTTCCGAGAATTTCAATCGCGAAAATCGAGAATCCGGAAAACTGGCAAAGTATCAGGAGAACATGATCGACAAAGAGGTGGGGCACTATCTATATTTCCAAGAATTTTTCGAAAATCCGCAAAACCGAAAAAGTATCAGGAGAACATGATCGGCAAAAAGGTGGCACTATGTGAATTTCCAAGAATTTTTAAAAAATTCCAAGAATTGGAATTCCGAGAATTTCAAACTTCAATAATAGCGCAAACATGCATAAATACATATCGAATAAATATTCATATACATATACATATCGGTATATATATATCGATAGATTCCCCTCACCCTTCAGAGCCAACTCCCCGCGTCCTTAAGGGTACTTTAGGCTCCGTTTAGATATTTCCTACGTCCATGGTGGACTACTTAAAATTGCAAGAACTCCTCAAGAATTTGAGGAAATGAGAGAATTCGGAGATTATCTAATTGTTAATTTGATATTTCGCGAACGCAAGAAAACGCTGATCACGCTCCGCGGCAATATGGTGTTGAGGAAAACGCACGAACGAGGGCTCTCTACAAGACGCGCGTAGTTCATGGTCACGTTGCGCGTCCGAGGAGAGAGAGAAGGCAGTGTCACTGTATGTTAGTAGACGTCGGTAGTGATGTGGAACTTTGCAACGGTGAAAATATGATGAAAATCAAGCCGTTTACAAATGTCTCGTTTCTGCGTGCCACGATAATTCTCTGCGTAATACCGCAATGCCTAGCCGCCTTGTCCGACAAGCAATTATGTTACGACCCCAATTGTTCGGGTAATTGAAGCCATACTTTAACTCCGAATCCCATAACACACTTTTTTTCCCCCCTCAGCCGCATCATTTTCACCGCATTGCTTTTCCGCTGTTATTTAGAGCCCATCTCGTTGGCCAGGACCATCCTCGCGTACCGAGCAAACGATCGCGAGGTGATGTCATTTAACAACAATGCAGAAGTCAAAGTTTTCAGTAAGGGCGCCGGAAAACGCACGGATTTATGGGGTGTCGAGGTATACTTTGCCATCCTATTACGCCGAATGTTATTCACCTTAGTGCGATACAATATATTTTTATTATTCGTACTTTTAACGTCCTGTCAAATGCCTAAGAGCGACGTCTCGGTCATGAAAAAGATATCATTTTCTCCATCTACCGATCTCTGTTCCAGATAAATGGCAAGCGTGGATTCGCCCCCGAGAAATTCCTGAACGAATACAAAATTCTAAGACGCGATCTGTCGCACGAAGTGCCTGTTTATAAGTTTAATGATAAGGCTAACAAAGTTCAACCCGAGAAGCTCGAGTCGACTGGGAAAGGGGGTAGCGAGTCGCACACTTTGTTGAAAGACGAATTGTCTCGGGATGATAACGCGACCCTGTCGTTGAACTCCGTAGATGGGAGCATCGTCGAGGAGTCTCATGCGACCAATGCAGATAGCATATCACCTTCCTACGAGGTGATAGATGGTACCACGGTTTACCTTGAGAATACTCCATCTGTACAACCTAGTCTCGTGGCTGAAGTTGCGCACGCTACTGCATTGCCGCATGAACAAGCTCCAGCGGCTTCTAATTCTAAAATCGTTCACGAGAGATTATCATCCGACGAGAATGCATTCATCGACAAAAAGTTACAACCTGTTGCAAATGGCGCCAGTGGTGAACTCGAGGGAGTTCAGTTGTCGACAGACACTCAGAGTCAAACTGGCTCCGTACCGCCGGAGACTCCGGAAGCAATAATCGGTTCAACCTTAGACCCAGCGAGCACAGAGGACACTTGGACGCCCGACGGAACTGACAACTCTGAGGGAGAATTATTTGAAAGTGTAGAACTTACGGAGGAATCGGACAGCGGTGTTGAGGAAAGTGCAGAAGATAACGAGAAGGAGAAAGATAGCGAACATGTCGAGAGTGATGGTATATTTGCCTCCATTACGAAGACGTTTAAAATTTTATCCAGCTCGGTAGAAACTGTAGTAGCGAAGAGCACCGCTGCTAAAAGTAGCGAAGACGCAGCTGCTCCCGACACTGCTGTTTACAGTAATCTGCAGTTGGAGGAACAAGTTTCAGAAAGTATTGAGGATGCTGCAACCGAAGAAATTCCCCCGTCTACTCAAATCAAGTTGGAATCGAGTATAGACCAAGGTTTTATAGGTAAAGACAAAGTAGAATCGCAGCAAGAAATTGTACACGCGAGCACTGAAAGTGCAACGGTTCCAGATGAACAGATAAATGAAGCTCCCACGATTATTTTGGAACATACTACAGTTAGCGACGTGCCTTCATCCAATAATTTTGTACACGAAAATAATGATAAGCCTGCCAAAGAATTGCCAACAACAGCGGACGGCGGTTTCGCTTTTGCAAAAGCCGATGTTGAAAATATTCAAATGCAGGAAACGAGCGAGGCAGAGAGAGTTGCGAGAGATGTGAGGGCTGACGGTGCAATTACCTCTGCTGAAGAAGACTCGACAATTTTGTCTGGTTTGCAAGGAACTGCAGCCACAGAAACCACCACTACTCAAAGCAGCGACGTTATCGAGCCGAAATTACCGGAAAGTGGTGAGGCACATCTAGAAAAGACAAAAAAAGATTACAAAGAAATAATTGGCCAAGCTGATAAAACTGCTGAAATCTTAGAAACTGTCAGCCTACCGTCTGAGACAGCAGAAAGTATCGCAACAGAGTCATCCCCTGATAGTCATTCTGTTGAAAATGTAACAATTGAAGAGAATCATAGCGCTGCGGATATTCAATTTAATAAAGAATCAATTGTACATAGTAATGTAAATAAAATTGATAACTTAGCCAATGATACTAACTCTGACAATGTTCCTATAGAATCTAACGAATTCTCGAACAGTGCAAAATCTAGCGTTCTCGGGCCAGAGCAATCTATAGATTCTAGTCAAGAAAGTATGATGTCGGAGCAGACAATGACTTTAAATGAAGGAGGTTTGGCACACCAAGACGGTAAGCTATTAATTGATTAGAACAAAAATTTTAGTTTATGTAGAAACTTTATATAGAACATATACACATATGATATAATAATCTATTTTTATATTGGTCACATCTAAATTTAGATACCTGCTTTATATGTTTAGTCGAAAGTCAGATCGTCGGTTCTGTGAAGGAGGAAGAGACCTTACCTGAATATGGTGATCACATGAGCAATGAGGATAAGGTTTCGTACGAAAATGGAGTTGGCGATGATAGCTTGGAGAAGCCAGAATCCGCATCTGTATCAGACGAAATGGAGGGTAATTATTTTACTATGAATTTAATATTTTTTTATGTTCTTAAAAAAAATATAACCATATTTCTGCACAGTAGCCGAAGATAAAATTTGTATGAATGATCATGAATGCGTTGTAACCGAGGCAACAACTAAGTTTTTGAACCAAGTAAGCACCGCAAAGACTTACCATGTAATCTTTTATGTATTCTGTTATGCATAACAATTTTTTCTTTGCAATAGATGGAAGACGTTGCAAATGAAGAGGATGATTTGATTGATGTAACATTGGATCATAATTATTGGAAGACACTGATGTGTCTGTGTGTAACAGCCTTTACAACACTCGTATTCACTCTTGGATATTATTGTATCGAGGTATTTTGGTGCTCGAAACCGAATTAAATCAAATCCATAATTAAAGTTCGTTTCTAAATACTAAAGTCGTATTTAAAGCAGCCTTAATTATGATTTATTTCTGTTTTACGATATATGACTAGTCATGCAAAGAGAGTATTTAAGTAACATCATCGTTAAAGCATAATCGTATATACATTTTTCTTTAGAATACAAGAAGGGACGGACAACTCATCGCGAGGATTAATAAACTCGAGAAAGAATTGTTAGTCTCGACGAAAGAATGTGAAGTACTCAGCGAGAATCTAAAATCGATCAAGGATAAGGTGAGCAGCTTACATGAGCAAGTTGATTCTTCGCTACATCAGCACGTTTTTTTCTTTTTATCATTAAAGCTTGAACGTATATGTACTAAAATTTAAATATTTTAGTTGCATTGCATTGAAGATGAATCATTTGGTTCTAACGAAATGGTTGTATCGCTAAAAGCTGATTTAGAAATGTCACAGGTACACGCACAAATATTTTTCGTTTCTTTTCCATTATGACTGTACAAACTGAAAATTGGACATTCTGTTACCGATGTCTGTTTTTGACGTAGAGCACGAAGGTTGAGTTGGAAGAACAAGTGACTATGCTGGAGAAAGATTTGGAAAATGCAACGGAAGCTGGATTAGAACTCGAGCGTATGCTAAGGGAAGTTCTGTCGTCGAACAATGAAGTTAATCCACTAGCTCAATCAGTGGAAGATCTACAGGCACGATTAAACGCTCAACAAGCTGCGAACGAGTCCTTGACAAACGCACTGAACCTTAAGGCTCAAGAGGTAAGAGGGCAATTTGTTCGCATATTGTCTATATGGTTGCTTTTAATTTTAAGATTAAATAAACACATTTTTCTGATATAGCGTGAGATTAATAAATTTGAAGTTATTTGTACAAACATGAGAACAGATATTTTTAAGAATGATATTTATATTTACACTATATAAACAGAGCATTCACATTCTTTATTTAATATTTTATTTCTTTATTGTATTATCCTACGTATTAATGTTTAACAGATGATTTACATCTGTTATCAGTTAATTAATGTATATGACTTTATTGCAGATTGAGACTTTGTCAGCAGATCTTGTATCTGCTAAGGAGAAATTCAAGAAGCTTCAAATAGAGTATTTGCAAACGCAGGACGAATTGACGACCCAGAAAAATCTTCAAAGTAATATAGTACAAACGCTAACAGATAAAGTACATAGTTTGGAAGAGCAAGTAGGCCAAGTAAGTCTGTAATTATGTACATCAGTCAAAATTAATATATAGAAATTGAAATGTGTCTAATAAATGATAGATGCTCGATACATTGTTAAGACGCGCTTTTTCCTTAGCTGTCTACCGAGAAGTCGTCGTTATATAAAGAATTGAGAGAAAAAGAGGTAGAAGTGAGAGAACTAATGGAAATTATCAGCCAAGTCAAATCAAACAATTTGGACCTGGAGAAATTATACGATGTATCTCATATTAAAATTGAGGCAGCGCAACTGCGCGAGGAGAGAGATGAATTAAAGGTGCGATTAAGCGATGTAGACGGCGCTCATCAGTTACTAGAAGGTACTTTCTTAAAAATCAGGGTATTTCATCTATTACGGTCGACATTTGTTAAATCTTGCTGTGATACCTTTGTGTCGCAGAGCATATGAAACTTGTTAAGGAAGAGATAATTGCACTAAGCGATCAGTGTAAAATAGCTGAAAGAGAAAAGAAAGATGCCGAGACGCGACTTGAAGTTTTGTCAAAGTTCTTCCAGGACAAGGAAACCGAACGCCAGAAGTAAATAACGATTACTCACTCAGGATTTTATATTTGAGAGCAACCTTAAACCATTAACACTAATCATTTTTAGGGAAGAGGCTATTTGGTTGCAGAAACAAGGAGAAGTTATGTCGACAGTCGAAAGGCTACACACGTTGCAAAACGAAATTCAAAATTACAAGTAAGCAAAATCAGCATGACTGCGCCATGTGATATTTATATTCAAGCGAAATTTAATTTACGAGAAACATGTCGTTGGAGTAAATTGGATACTTTTGCGCGCATCGTCACGATTGCAAGAATTTAATAAGTTTATGCGTCGCAATTAGTTTCATTAGAGAAAATTGAATTTCAGGCAACAAATAGAGATGTTAAAACGGGAGATAGTAGACCAGGAGAGGGAATACAAGAATCAAATATCCGCTCTGGAAACGAAGACACATGAGCAATGGGTATGTGTAGCAAATATGAAAAGAATATGTTATCGCGAAATACCCATATAAAATTTCGCTTGCTTTGTAAGGTTACTACCCGTCAAAATGAGCGCCGTTTAGAAGAATCGAAAGCCGAGGCCAGCCAATTACGTAATCGCCTTACACTCGTAGAGAAAAACTTAAACGAAATCGATCCCGAGGCAAAGCTACACCGTGAGTATTCCGGTTACGAGATATTACTTGTACCCGTATTTAGCAAAGACCGACAATTTTTAGCGCGAATCAGATTCCATCATGTCGATTATTACATCAACTTTTTTCATATAGAAATGTATATCCACCCTTTCGTAGACAAATAACGATCGTGAGGATCTTGTAGAAATTGTAACGCGTAGTATTGTTGCGATCTGTAGAATAATTTAGCTTCTTAGCAAGTAATAATTAAAGGACATCTGTACAGTAATATTATCTCTACATAACAAGCGCGCGTTGGCAACGTTCCTCGACAGACGGTGGATCGCAAAGTATCGCACGACGGAATCTAGGAGCCTCTCGATAGTCTGTATTCTTAAACTGATTTCCAAACGCAGGCCTGGAAGCGAACGGGGAAACGGCGACCTCCCCGTCACTGTTCATAGGAGCAGAATCGTCCAGTTCTCCCGTAATGTTTAGCGGTTCCTCGGGAGTCCCGCCACCCCCGCCGCCCTCGTATCTGCACTGTTTCCCGTATCTGCCGCCCCTGCCGCCCGCCGCTGCTTCCGGTCTACCTCCGTACGATATCAGTCAACGTCCTCCGCCACTCGGCGGCAGACTGTCGTCACCTCCGCCGATGTTGCCGCCGCCGGCGTTACATCGCCCCCCGGTCTCCGGGGGCAGATACGAGAACGCCGGTTCGCCACCACCGCCTATGTCTCCGCCGCATTTACTTCCACGGTTCGACCACCATAGATCACCGCCACCTCCTCCCTTCGGTGGCGATCATATCCCGCCCCTTCCTCCGCCCGGCTCGATATTGCCTCCTCCCCTCGGAGCGGCGCATCCATGGGGTGAAGAATCACTGCCGCACCCGCGTAATTCTGGCTTTCATCCTCATCAGCGAGAGCAACGTGCGCGCAATCACAAAGGTTTGTGAAGCCGATACGACGCCACGCGGAGCGACGACACGCACTCACGCCGGGGCATGCCACGTAGCGTTAACACCGTCTAGACCCGCCTAACATTTTTCCGCTCTCTTGGGGAAAACTCGTGTATTTTTTGTGGTTACTATTATCTGTCTTTTTATTTTTGTGCATGCAAGGACGCAAACGTTTCTCTAAAGTGAGACAGTTTTGGAGTACTATGGAAGGAAATAATCCCAAATAGATGTCAGGTTAAAGAGTATATAAATCAATGATTTTCATTTACGGTAACGGCACACACGATGTACCTTTCATTTTCTAGCATGTTTTATCCTTTATCGCTTTTGTGATTGTCGTTATTAAAAATCTATTTCTTTTCGTGAACTTTAGATAAAAGCTATCCCGAATATCTCTGTAGTTTAGTAAAACTTATTAAACTTATATTTTCTTATTACCGTTTTGCATTCTAAACTGTAGTTTATCCTTTTATTTGCGTGTATCGCGGCAGTTAGGGAACATATTGAAAAAGATAATTTTACTAAATTGTGCATTAAACTTTTTAGGTTCCTTACATTCTTCGGGAGAATCACTGGATAAGGCACATCATGGGAAAGTCTAAGTTTTGTATCTTGTTATTCAATACACTTGTACAAAGGCCAAATCATCACTGTATCAGTGAGCGCTCTCATTGTATAACGATTATAAATAAATATGTGATGATGAAAATTTTATGTCAAATATTAATAGAAGCAACGTACATAGGGATTCATTAAACGGTGTCAGCTGACAATGTTGTTATTATATCTGTGATTATTATGATACATAATAGATTGTTTCCTGTTGCTTTCGTTAAAAGGAGCGATCTTTTTACCATCAGTTATCCAACGAATTAGTATTTTTATTTTACTATTCTAGGAAGTGTGTACAGCAAGTTATTTGTAAAAATTGACAAAAATATTTTTATATATCTTGATTGTATTACGAAAACGAAAGGAACACTGCAAGATCGTAATTAAGTTATGCATTTCCGGTATTAACGCATACTTTAGATATCAAACGTTCAATTTAGGTATAATATTGTAATAAAGTTCTTATAATCGATGTAGAATGTAAAAGATATAATTGTTATATATGGTTTTAAAAATCGAAATAAATTGTAATTTATTATGATAGGCGGCTGTGTTTTATTGGAGTTATTGCGGATTTGATTATACCGTTTTAGCTAAAATAAAAGAAATTATATGTCTTTTCTCCGCTCCTCCTTTCTTATCAAAATGAAATGTTAGAAATAGTCAATTTATGATACAAGTATATACAAATTAGTTTTTTATTTTCGTTGCTTATGTTCCTTATAAAACGCAATCTTTAATTCACTTGTAAAATCGTTTGCCCCAAAAAATGAAAATTATGCATTTATTATCTATAGAAATATTTCCTTTTTACATTTTATATTCAGCGAAATGCGAGATATACATGTAATGTAATATCTAAATGTACTTACAATATTCACAATCCAGGGAAAGGGCGAGGAATGCGCGCAATATCTTTCATTTTAGCCTGTATGTGTCGTAGCTTTGTAAAAACCATTTTCTCTTTCTCTGCCTTTTTTTTTAAATATCACAAACAATGGATATGGATGATAAAGTGTAATGATATTATAAATACAATTATCGATACTGTTATGCTAAACATAATACGAAAACTATAAAGAAAAATATGAGGACCGCGAATATCTTTATCATTAGCCATCTATTGCTTGTCACAGCCTGAAAATACTTCAGTATTTCGGTGTGTGCAGCTTCCACGTTTAGCTCGGTGTCTTCTATATTGCTGTCTATCCTGCAAGTTGATTTGAGAATTCTCATACTTACGAATATTTTAACAAATAAAATGTTTCTCGGGACAATTGATCCTTTCTCTCAAAATCATTAGATTATGTCGTCCCTCCTTACCTTTCAACCATCTCTTCTTGTTCCTTAACCATATGCGCCAATTGCTGGAAAATGCCTCCTAACTCAACTATAGTGGATTCTATGTTTTGCATCGTTTCGGCTCTTGATTGCATGTACGCGTCCTGTAAGAAATGGATACACGTACCCGTTATCATTTTATTAAATGACACTTGCCGCCGTTACTTACAGTGTCATCTTGTATAATCTGTTGTAACTGCTGATTCATCGCAGGTTCAAGATCTATCGCAACTGAACTAGAGCTAGAAATCTCTTCTTGTAGCAACAAAGAACCTTGCCTCCCAGAAACAACACTCGGCGGGAGCATAGTGGACAGAGAGCCTTGAGTGAACTGCTGTCTCCTAGTTTGCTCCTCTCTCATATTCTGCATCAGATAATTTACACATCTGTCACTTTTTAACGTCCCGTAACATTCATAATCTCGCACTCCTTTTGTCAATATAAATCGCAGCATTGAACCAAAGTCCGTGGGTTTGCTAATTCCAAAGGATTGCGCGAAAAAGAGAAGAGATACGTTGCTTGTTTTAGGTTACGCACCTCGGAGCGAACTTCCAAGACACTTTTGAAGTGATTAGACATATTGGCCAGTTTCGATTGCAATGCCATTACAATCGAGGAGGAATGCGAAGCGATGTGATGACTCTGGGAGGAGCCGAAGCTTTCTCTCTGAGACTTTCCGAGTTCCTGCAGTTTTCCGATTTGAAGGTTCAGGCTTTTTAGGTCGGTTTTTATAATATTCGTCAGCTCCTCAATCTCCAATTGCCGGTCGTTGAATATAGACTTCTTCTTGGCCACTGAAACATGCGACATGAGTTAGTATAGGATGTTTTCAATGCTTCTGGAGTAGCTAATGCATATCAATTCAATATGTTCCTACTACTTTTCTCTCGCTACGTGCATTATAAAACCTTAGACAGTGAGAATTGACGGTAACTGCCGATGACAATCTCAACAATGTTCCTGAGAAAAATCATCTCGTAGCCTCTCGACAGTCTGAGGACTCCAGGTAATATTACATATTAACTTTCGCACAAATCTGTGCTAAAAAAAAACCGTCCATCTCTCTCTCGCAACAAAGGTATCCCGCTAATTGCAATATCTCTACTCTCGCATGCAACATATTGTAACCGCCTGATCTACGTCCGCGGCCGAAGACGGCGTCCCGGGACTCTTACATAGGGCGAGCTTCTCCAGCTTGGCGTACGTGCTGGCGATGTTCTTGCCGATGTTCTTGGCAATCATCATAAAGTTCGAGTAGCTCTGTATCTGGCGTGCGCGGCGCGGATTCTGCAGGCTCGCGGCGGTGCGCGCCACGGTCCTGCTCTGCATGGAGCGGATCGCGTTGGCGAACTCGTTGGTCCTGTCACGGGATGTCATCGTCGTCGTCGTCGTCGTCGCCGATTGCTCGCTATCCTCGGAATCGACCGCCTCCTCGCTCAACAATCTGCCGCTCGCCCCGTCTCCATCGTGATAGTGTCGCGAGCCGCCCGAGCCCGCAAGGTCGCGATTCGCCACGGGCCCTACGACGTGACGTCTGCGTGCTGACATCGCAGCATCCTCTCAGCTTTCACCACGTGCGCGCGTGTCCCGAGGGCCTCGACCACCACCGGGTCCGGTAACGTCAACAGATTGCAACGGTGGCGGCGACGGCGGCGGCGGACACGTTCAGACACGTCCGCATGACATCCACACATGACAGGCCCCCCACGCACGTGTGTATGTACGTGCGTGAATGTGCACGGGCAACTGGGTCATAGAAAGAGTGCGCTGTCACGCGCGCGGCTGCCTCCGAGCCGCGTGGCGGCCGCGCGCCATTTTCCGCACGGCCGGAAGCACGCGGGCGCGCGACTTTCAAACGGCAGAGCTCGTCCCGTTCAAGTCATTCGGTATTGGACGCTCTTTCGCCGGCTGTTCGTTAGCGTCGACAATAATAAATGAATAGCGATGTAATTTTGCGAAGTCGCATCTCCGGCTCGGGCGTGAAAATTACGTTCTAGGTGATAAACGTGTCGTTCAAAAGTGAACGGACGAAACGTACGAGACTCCCGACAACTAAATGTACGGTCATTAGACGCAAGGGATCCTTCTCGATGCTCGAAAGTATCAATTTATTGAGTGTCAATATTCGGTGTTAGACACACGTTAAGGGGATGCTGGAGTGATTCTGCACTTTTGCACCTTTCTAACCTAAAAACTGTCAGTTCGCGGAAACATTTGTGTAATATACAAATTAAATGGCTTAAGTGT